TTTGGTCTCAAAGCTCGAGTTCCGTAACGAGAGTGTAGATGGCTTTGATGCTACTCGAATAGTTTACTAACTCTGGTTATGTGGTCCTAATATATATTAATAAATCAAATTGGCAGTGGAAAATTCACTAATTACTCAATATCTGTGATTAATTTATGAACTTTTATAACTGCATCGTAATGGCAGATTCTTCAAGAACTTTCCAATATATTTTTCGATAGTAATTTGTCCCTAATTAATTAATTATTAATGATTATTCTAGGCAGTGTTTGAATTATTGGTCGATTGGTCGCAGACGCCATTGGTTTTTCATTAATTACTATTCTTTACACAATTAATTTATGAAACTTTACGCACTCATTAGAAAAACAATGTTTCTGCGAATCTTCTCATTTAACTTTTGATCACATTTTGCTTCTAGTTTCGTTTAGTATTAAATATTTTGACGAAAGATCGTGATGATCGCTGTTACGAAATCATAGACGCCATCAAACAAAAATTAATAACTAACAATTTAGAGTTAAATTCTTTACGAAAATTATATAAGAATATAGCCTGAAGTTCCAGCTTTGCAATGAAATTATAAAAGTTCATAAATTAATTACGAAAATGGAGTAATTAATAATTTTTCACTGCCGGAACTATTCTATCCTTTTCTACCCCCTCTTTGTCCTTGTCTGCCACGTGACCATCTCTTCGACGACCTCCTCGCCTATTCTATATTCCTATCACTTTCTTGATTTTTGAGCCCAAATAATAGATGGCGCTGATCGCAGGCGGTAAAGTAGTTATTTATTCAAAAGTAGAAAATTAATAAATTTCCAAGTTTTTGTAATTAATTCATGAATATTTATAGCTACACAGCAAAGTTGGATATAGGGAACATTCTTATACATTGTTTAATTTAATAATTAGTTAGTAGCAAATAAGATTGCCATAGAAAAGTATTTTTCTTGCATAATATTCTTATTTTGTAATAAACATATACTAACATAAGAAAGCGTAAAAAATAAATTTTTTTATTAAGAAATTATATTTACAATTTTGTTTATTTACAATGTTTTCATGGACGAAAAATGAGTACAAAATAAAAAATACATTGAAAAAAGCTACCAACTATAGACGGGAATCGAACTCCGGTCTTCCAGCATATGATGAAAGAAGTAATAAAACTTTAATCGTAAATATCTCAAAAACTATTGAGTAGTTGCCGCTATAATGATATATTATCTTAAACTGCATGACGATATCTACAAACCTGCAAAATTTCAACTAAATCAGTAACCCGAAGGACTTGCACTCTCCTTGTTAGACGCGAGTTTCAAGATGTACTATGAGACGAACTAAAAGTAACAATCATGATCATGGGAGTTTGGGTTTGTAAATGTCGAAGTCCTTTCGAGATTTCGTATTACTAATTACGTAATTACATTTTTCCTTATTATTTACAATTTTCTCATTGGATGATGAATATAGAAAATTATACGATCCTTTTTCAAATATTATCCCAAAAATGAGGCCTAAAATTTTCCATTCCGCTATTTCTGTTATTGCCTTCTTGCATTCTCTTCAAGTTCCATTACACGAAGAAACTAATACTTGCTATTTATAATTACAAGAAGACGAAGTGAAAGCGAAAGACACTTGAGATATCGAGCAGTGAATAATATTTACGGTATTTACCGTAATTATGCAGTCAAATAATTAAAGTAAACGAGCTCTTCCGTTTCCATACATATTCATACGTGTCACATCGTTCAACTGTATGTGAATTCTACTGAATTCGACGCTTATGTTTTATCGTAGATGAAATATTTGAAGGCATGAATGGTATTGTAACGATACGTGTATTCATACGAGGTGTGTCTGTCGTTTATGTTGCAATACAGTTTCTTTTGTATACACTATAACAGAGTCTTTGTTTAGAGAGCATTTTAGGTCGCTGGTTATCGGCATCGACCATGGTAACGTTTTGTCGAGAAAAATGAAAGCGTGATCGTCAAAAGCTTCTAATTCATTCATACCCAGATTTATTAGGGAAAAGTAAATATATTACTAAAAATAATTATTATTTATAAGTGGGTAATTATAAATTAATCTATAATTTTGTCCTCTGTAGTTGATGAAAACCGGCATTTATTTTTACTGGAAATTAATCTTCACTGTAATTCTATACATGCGCTTATGTTAATTATATAGGTTTAATTATTACGATATATAATGTAGTATCGCAGAATGCCCACCTCGTGTGTAGGTGACTTTGGTTTGGAAAGTCGCCGAGGGTTCGAGGGCCAGGTAATTCGGAAAAACCCCGGTGATGCGTCAGGCCCTTAACATGACCATATTTGGTCGTGTTGGGGGAGGCTTTTTAGGGAATATATAAAGAAGGCAGAAATGGTTAAGGGACGATTCTTGAGGGAGCTTTCTTTTTGAGAGACAGTGCTTGAGAGATAGTCAAGCTGGGTCAGTAAGTTGTAATTGTGTTGTTAGTTATAATCGTGTTGTTAGTTGTAATTGTGTTGTTAGTTATAATCGTGTCGTTAGTTGTAGTCGTAAGAGTTTAGTTGATATATATCTATATTCGTAGTCTTTACCGTCACCGCACATTGTATTATATTTTATGTTTAATAAATAGTTTAATATTGTTTAACAACCACACAATCTCTACAATAATATATTTAGGTATGCACTAGAGATCGATAGTTACAGTATTGAAGAGAATAGTGAAATGGGAATTCTGATTTATTTATTATAAATAAAAAAATATTTTATTTTATTTATTAAATCATATCGTGATTTATGATCTTATAAATGACTCTATATGAAATTCTTTCGATACTAACCTTCTGATGCAATGAGTCGTGTCTATTTAAATATCATATAAAATAATTTTTCATACATTTTTTTATCATTGTCGTTACTGTCCATTGCTGTAGCAGAATGGCAGCATAGTCTTAAATGTAAGATGATATCGAATATTCCTTATACGAGGAACGTTCAGAAATTTGATCATATTACAAATTTTGATTCGCGGATGTTTTACATACACGACTAATTAATATTCAGGCAATTTCTCGGTTTTTTGTTCTTTTTTTTTTTTTAATTTTGCGAAAACGGAACAGTGATTGGATTCGATCAAATATCTATATTAATATGGATATATTATTTACATTATTTTGAATATTCAACGGAAATACAACCCCTGGCGATAAGTTTTCGGCCAAACGCACCGATACGGAATTCTTCATAAATATTGTAATTTTGAAAACGTAAAATGGTATCATATGACTGTAAAACGTATGGAAATGTTAGATAAGTTTCATTTATAGTAACTACGAAGGAAGTAGTCTAAATTTTTATTTCTTTTCGAACAGGAAGTATTAACAATGTGAAATCATAGTTGGAAACAGTTATTTGTCCCGTAAAAGCCCTGGAAAAAATATTCGTCATTGTATATTAATGTTGGAACCCGGATTTTAATATACAACACGGGTTTTAGCAACAAGGCTACGTTGGAAAAATACAAGTCGGCGGAGAGGAAAAAAATAAAACAGAAATTGAAACTGGAACTGACTGAACTGACTACTGAATTGAAAACTATACTGAAACTGTTCTTTCGCAAATTTTATGGGTGTTTATATAATGTTAGTTTTTGGGGGGGGTGGGGGGTGAAGATGACCATTAGCCCTTAGTGAAAGCAGGAATAAGTCAATTGTTTATGAACTCTGAAATTGGTCTGCGTTTATCAGCCAGGTCCTTTTAGTGATTAAGTGCCAACGAATCGTTAGTCATCCAACATTAATTTGCAACAATGTACTCGATCAATTTCCATCAAAAATAATTTAATTGCCTCTCTCAGTTCAGCTTTATTTTGTGGCTCTTTTTGATGAACAAATTTTGTCGAATAATTTAATAGAAATAATTATATAAATACCGAAAAATTCGAACGCGACTGTACTAAGTATGAACTTTTAGGATAGTCAACAGAGACATGCTATTGTACAAATAAAAAATCAAGTGTACTCTCAATATAATTGTCCTCTATTTTACTTTTCGCTTTATCCTTTTTACAATTCCTTATATAATATGATACCATCAATTTGTCATGTCTCATTGTCGTAAATTTCCTGCTACTAATTCTCGTCCTCACTCTATCAAATCCAGAACTCGCTATAAGACTTTTGTAATTCGTTTACACTTGTACACGTATCTGAAAGTAAGAGAAAAACATCTGATCGTATAATTAAAAATCCTAAATTAACCCTTTGCGCTCGACGATTTTTTGGCTATAGAAGGGTACTAGTTGAAAAATTTTCTGCTATAAGGCTGATGTTATTTTTTGAGCAATAAATAAGAAATCGTATAATAACTAACACGTAGAATTATTTAATTTCGATACCTCACACACTGTTGTATTATTTTAAATTTGATATATTAATTAATATCGAGCTTTGAAATTTTATCAAATGGTGACTGAAGAGTGCCTCTCGAATGCAAAGGGTTAACACACATCGTTAATCCGGCTATCAGCAATGCTGTTCAAGCGATTCTCTTAACGCCCACCAGCCTCGACCCGATATTAAACGCGCAAGGGTATCATTAACGAGTCACCAAGCACCATGTTCCATCTCTGCACTTTTCGGAAGATATCTTACCGGGCAATCCTAACGATCTTCGATTACTCGAGTTTACACTTTCTCGCTGGATGACGTCAAACCGAAATCAAAGGATTATCACGAATGTCGCGTTGCACGTGCACACACGTGTCCGGGAAGACGGAAACGCGGTTTCCCATGGATCGAATCAGCTCGCAGGCGTGTCACGCAGAGTGTCAGCAGATTCTCTTCAACGGCCTTGTCAACGTCGTCTCCTGTGTAAGGATCGAGCTTGAACAAACCGAGACTCGGCCAGGAAGACGAGGTGGGGTATGGGAAACAGGTGTATATAGAGGTTCCAGCCGTGTTGCTAGCCCACAACACCTTTACGTTTCACTACAGCCAGGGTGTTTTCGTGTACGCTGTAATTTAGAACTCGAATTTTCTTCGACCAACGACTGAAAAATGCGAGATCTCTTCCTTGTAAGTATTGTTACCGGAATCGGTTTTAATTTGTTTTTGGAGATTGATTCCTTTTTAAGACTAATAAAAACGGAAGAATAAGAACGACGTTGAAAGATTGATCGTATATATGAGAAAAGTGATAACACATAATGTACAATATTTAATTAGAAATTTAAAATGATCATTTAGACTGTGAGAGGTTTAACCCTTTGCATTCGAGAGGTGACCCTCAGTCACCATTTCATAAAATTTGGAAGATCGATATTAATTAATATATCAAATTTAATGTAATGTAACAGTGTGCGAAGTATCGAAATCAAATAATTCTACGATTCTATTATTATACAATTCTTTATTTACTGTTCAAAAAAGTATCGTCAGCTTTTTAGTAGAGAATCCTTGATTTTCTACTCTTCTCTAGTCAAAAAATGGTCGAGTGCAAAGTGTTAATATTAAAATTGATTCCTTTCGAATGGAGTATAATAGTTACATTCATTGAGCAAGGAGTAACTCTCAAGTATATATTATTAAAATTAGGAAATAATTCAATTGCGTGTTTATAGAGTATTTATAATTACATTTGTTAGAAATATGCATCATAAGTGGATAACAAAAGTATTCGAAGCATACATATATTGTTACATTATTGTATATATGTACCAGTGGTATTTTTTTGTGATTTTACATTTATTCAATCTTTCTTCAAATCTCTATCCACTCCTGAGCTATTTTTTCATTATTCCAGCTGAGTGATTTAAACCGTTTTCCTGCTAGAAAAGGAAATCTTTTCATAATTTAGGTTTATGAGCATTTTCTTTAAGATTATTTTTTCATTTGTCGAATATATCGTTAATAAATACCAAGTTCTTTATGTCACCGGCTGTCATGCAGGAAAAGGAAATCTTTTCATAATTTAGGTTTATGAGCATTTTCTTTAAGATTATTTTTTTCATTTGTCGAATATATCGTTAATAAATACCAAGTTCTTTATGTCACCGGCTGTCATGCATGATATAACATATTTCACGAACTGTGATATGTTTTTATTTCTAGAGCTCGTGTTTCAAGTATAATCTAAGTTACATCTAACGATAATTTGAACAGTGTAATTTATGGTGTGCTTTACGTGACACAATAGGTTTCCTCAGAAACAATGATAATAGTCGAGATTCACGCGTGTTTGATGACATCCAGTGAATTATTAGTTGTATAATAGCACTCCATTTTGAACTAAAACAGAAGAGAAAATTGCAGTTTTATACTACTAATATTGATTTAAGATATATAAGTTTTCTCGGAATTTGTTTGATACATTTGATACGTTGCAATACGTTTTTATGCATGCAAACCTGGCAAAGGATGTTAAACATTTTTCATTCTTATTTCACAGACTAGCGATTCGGAGAAATGATATTTACTTGTTGGAAATCCCGAATAAAGAGTGAAACAGAATTTCAATTAGCGAGAGTAAATAAGTTTCAAACAGCAGAATTTATATTGTTTAATGTATGATGATGCTTTAAATATCGATTCATCTTCAGCATTGCGAAATCGTGGTGTACATAATTCAGATGAAACGGTTCTGTTTCCTTTCTTGCGAACCTACTCTGTTGGCCGCAAATATTTGTAATTACTGAAAGGGAAAGTGAGAATTCTCCGAAAGAATTTTAGACGACAGAACAAAAGGATCAACTGAACCTTTATTGACTTAATCGCTATCAGTTTACGTTAATTTAGAAGTTAATAAAAATTACTTAATCGTTTAAGTACTTAATCATAGATTTTTTATTGATTTAAAGTAACTTATTTTTACGACACCTTTATTGACTTTTTTCAGAAAATATTCTTTAGATGTTTAGGAAACCTCGCCAAACAAAAGGCATGTACACTATGTATGTGTACTTACATATACCAGTTATATGTATGCATTTCCATTCTTGTCTAGGAGAATACTAAACGCCTCTCCTTTCATACTGTACATGTGCTTACATACATACTACATACATGTATCACATATCACATACATATATGTGATACAGATTGACACTGATGACTCATTGCGACAATACAATTGCCCTTAATTTCTCTGTCGACGAAGTCATGTCATAACAGATATAATAATGTAATAATAGTTAATAGCTTTATGAGAATAGTAACATTCATAACGAAGACATTATTATTTTCCTCATTTACATATAAACTAAGCATTTCTACATTTATTCCGAGACAATATTTTGCTCTCTCGTTATAAAATTATATAGTCTCTATATTGCCCTTTTAATGTTTAAAAATGTTGATCAAGTTAACACGAGTATTGTATCAAGTCTAATTTAAATTGTCTATTTACGTACGTTATAAATTTATATTAATTTCTTATTACTTCATTAAAGACCCCGCGATGTATCCTTTGTATTTAGGCGTATTTGTCCCAATATCACATTGTATATAAATATATTCATAGCAATACGTAATATTACAATTTCAGGTGCTATCCCTCGCTTATTTTATTGCACTCGGCAGCGGTGCCATTGAATCGGCGGAATCTAAGTTAATTACCAAATTAACACCGCTGAACAGTCCATTGTACCAGGATAATGCCAAAGACTTAATATCGTCTGCCAGCGATCGAAGTAAGTGTTACTTCATCAATAATTTTTGTATCATAGTCTTTTATACTGCAATGACGAGTTTAATTCGTCATGAATTTTTCATCTAAGAGTAAAATTCGTATAAATTCCAAAAACTTCTATAATTTTGTTGCGAACGAAATACATAATATATAAGTAGCTTCTTCAATACAAAATTTCTTATAATTCAATTGTAGCGCAAAAGATCGGAGGAAGAGGCTTCTTATAATAAAGTTCTTAACGTTCTCTTTAATACATTTTTATTCAATGGAACATCGTTATTTGTACACGAATTCGTATCATTTTTCATAGACATTCATAGCGCAAAGAAATTTGATCGATTTCTATTAAATGAGCCATGATTCTTCAGATTTTCATCTCGATTCGCGTTCGGCGGAAACGTAAGTAGAAAGAGAAAGATAAGGTAAAAGAAAAAGGCAGAAAAGAGCCTGTCGTATAGCGTTATTTAGTGCATTCAAAGGATACTCGTATCTGCATAATTATGCGAGATCGTAGTCTCATCGTTGGGGCGAAATTACGACTGCTTGCAGGCATAATCGATCGTTACCCAACCTTTTCAATGTATTAAATAAGTGTGTCACTACCGTTCCCACGATCGAGCACTTCAAATAGATTTCATTGTAAAAAATGTGACATTCGATATAATAACATGCTAATGCGACGAGTCTATCTGAAGGTTCTCCAACTATCTGCCGCGTCTTTTCTAATCACAACGCGATGTTCTGCATTAGATCATTGTTACGATGACTCACGCGAAGGTGCAAAGAAATGCGTATACGTAACGCGTGTGTATTTTCAGTTATTGAAATAACGTAACGACGTCTACCGATACTTGAATCCATTTAATTTTTAGTAACGATGAGAGTTGCATTATTCGCGTAGTCGTAAATGTGAGAAAAGACCTAGAAAAATATGACGTTAGATAGGAATCTAAGGAAACGGGAAGAATAGGAAGAAAAACACGTTGAAGGGATAGAAAGAATTGATTGTTCAATTTAAACCATAAAGATTATTTAATTCTCGTTGTTTAATCTTCATTAAGAACCTTATTATGAGAGCCTTATCGATTCATTATCAATGATTATTTTATGACACCAAGAGGGTTGTTAAAGGGGTTTAATTTTCTCCTATGCACGTTGGTAATCGATGATTCACGAACGCATCATTCAACACCGCGTCATTATTGCCACCATGAGATGGATGAAGGACACGTGTGTGAAAATCTATGCGTGAAAATTCATATGTGAAACAGCTACTATGTTTCTACCGTTTACTAGAGCTCGTCAAGGCTCAACTGATTATCTGTACATCTGTATTCTGTACACACTATACACATAAAATATTCCTCATACGTGTATATTTCTTACGATAGAAACGTTATTCTCCGCTAAGCGTGTATTCCTTGACAAAACGGGAGAAACTTCTCCACGAGTTTCTTGAATTTACCCAAATCTACGGGGATCCAATTTAATGCTCAACAAGTTTCAGCAATTAATATCGAATTACTCGTTATCATTTCTAAACTTCTTACGATACTCATTGCGAGATCTCTCAGTAACTATCCCCTAATTTGTCGAGTATCAACAGTTCGGGCATAAATCGTTAGGAACTAATAGCCCCCATCGATTGAGCCACTCGCAGGCCAGAATGATCAAAGTTCGGCGCTTAGTTCTTTATATTCTAAATAATTTCTATTCCTGGAGTTGATTGATTTGGCAAATGAGTGACTCAATTAGGAGAAATTTGGGAAATTAATTAGCGAATAAATTTCAAGCCAATTTTTGAATTTCAGTCGAGAATTATTATTAGAAATATCAATAATTTCTGATAGAGGAGCTCGGGTGCTCGTAAAGCGTCGATTTTCTTAAAAGTTCCATTGATTCCAGCATTTCACCTTAGCAAAGAGTATGGTCAACCGGGAGGATACGGTGGAGGCGGACCATATGGAAGTTACCTTGGTCTCAGTGGTTCGACTTATGGCCCTGGTATGACGTACCGTGGAAGCTTGGGTCCTGGATACTTAAACCCGGGCTACAAAGGCTATCCAGTGGGTGGGCCAGGAATTATTGGGGGCGGCCATATAGGGTGAGGTTCGCGCACAATTCAAAGTCGAATAATGAATTTGTATCGCAAACGTGTCACGTGGCTGACTTATAAGAAAGCGATTCATGGAGTGAGAATGTATATGGATGCATCGAAAAAGAATTTTCAATAATTCGTTAATCGAATAAATGTGGTCCAGGACGGTTTAAGAAATAAATTCTATAGTGCGCTATACAGCATTAGCAGTTGCCAGTGTTGATTATTTATGATTATCTTTTGTTATCATTTGAAATTGAGAATCTCTTTGGAAGAGGACTCTAATTGCGAAAATTGTGTTTCGAGATATACAAAGCTGAAACGCCTATCTCTTCCAAAATTGGAATATTGATAAAAAGCCTGAACAATTGATATTGCCAAAATTTTGATTTTAACGTAGAATAAGATTGTAATAAAAATGCGATAATCGGAAAAGTCTATCTCGAGAAATATCCTACATCCAAAGAATTCGTCAATTTTTTTTGGCAGGCATAAATTTGATGTCTAAAATTCTCTTCGACGTGTCTAGTTTGGTATTTAAAATTTGTTCAGTGTATGTAAATATTTTCCCAAATTATTTGCCATTTTGTGCAGAAACGCAGCGAGGGTATTATTAATAAAATTTCTGTCTAATTGAGGTAACCTTTAATACTTTATCAATCTTTTAATACCAGGTATGGCTATTACGGAAATGGCGGATACAATCCGGGATATGGAGGCTATGGATACGGCGGTTATGGTGGTTACGGGGGTTATGGTGGATACAATGGTTATGGAAATGGACTAGGGGACTATGGCAGCGGATACGCATCCAATGGTTATGGTTCCGGTATTTACGATAATAGCTACTATGGGTACGCTGGGCGTGGTAGTTATGGTCGTTACGGAGGATTAGATGGTTATGGACGTTATAGTGGATTAGATGGTTCTGGACGTTACGGTGGATTAGATGGTTATGGGTATGGAACAGGATATAGTGGGTATGGAGGATCGAATTATGGATCCTCGTATAACGTGAGAAGTAATTACGAGCCTTATCGTAGCAACAGTTATGGGAGTTACACTGGTTATCCATCAGGATACAGGGGTTATTCTTAAAATTCTTCTCTGATATCGAACAAAACATATCGTGAGTGTTGTACGATATTTTTTGTCATCTTAACAAAGAACACGATGCAATAAACCATTACAGCAGTATTTGTCAATTCTGGTTTAATTGTGTATGAGCTGTTATTAATCTGCATTAACGTTGATAGATTGTAATTTTGTATTGTTATTAATGTTTTGTGTAATGTATATATTATTAATAATAATAAATACAGCATAGTTAATAAAATTGTGGTTTATCTAAGTGGAATAGAGGAAGGACTATCACTGTCCTTAATTTACGTTCTTACAGTGAGAGTAGAGACTGAAAATCTTACACGAAGGAAGACCAATAAAAGTTGTTTCATGATTAGTTTTATTTAATAAAAATACATGATTCACACTTATAAGGAACATTGGATGAACGCAACATCAATATTTACAATTATGTATAATTTATTGAAAATTTCGACGATCTTTATGCTAGGGAAGAGGATACATATTACGTATCTCATATCCAATGTACAAATATAAATATATTGTTAAAATATCGAGCATGTACAGTTAAACATGTGTTTTAATGGGATAAATTCGAACTTTAATATTTTACATTATTCATGCAAAGCGTTTCACGTACCTTGAACCCTATAGTTTGGGAAAAATTTAACGTTAGTAATTGGTCTAACCGTGACAATTATCCTGTACGTGCTCAATAGGAATATAGTACTACGTATTAGCACTTGTACAATTAATATTTAACCTCAAGCATACGTAAAACGAGAGTGCGCAGTGGATGATTTAATTTCTTACGATATTTGCATAATTCAAATCGAAAAGAAATTTCAAGTAAAAATATAAAAAATTGGATTTACTTTCCACGCGACACAACTAACGTCGAGCGAAACGAATTAGTATTCTTGAAATTAAATACTAGGTGATAATAACGAGATAATACGCTAAATATTGTTTTGCATCATTATAGCTACGAGGAGGAAGAGCTACGAAAACATTGAAATTTTTCGCGAATAAAGCTTCTTTCCCTGCATTAACCTTTACAATTGGTACAATTACGACAGTATAAGCTGCAGATCGTCTTTTCTTTCCAATGCTGCAACAAAGAATAACGTTCAACATTTAACGTTTAATTATTACAAATTACTTCACAAATTATCACTCGAGTTAAAGCAGAGAAAGATAAGATACACCACTGGACTATTATACCCTAACCGTTAAGCTACTTCTAGATAACCATAGTCGATCGTCTTAAATGGAACCTGTTATTTTCACCCTGTTACCTTTCACCCGAGTTGATAAGAACGCACAGATTATGGTTATCCCGTTTATATTTTCAATCCTATCTCTCTTTGGCCATCCGTCAGCTGGCCAGCAGCTGATGGACAGGCAGTGTTTCGTTGTCTACGAACCGTCCCCGTGTGAACTAGTGGTTTCCCTTGTGGCCGAGTGACGAGCTAAACCCCGTGCATTACAGTCGCATTCTTCACTTGACGTTCCGACTCTTCGCCCTTCTCCTTTCAATTCGACCGCGAGCTGAAACATTCAACAAACCAAGTTTTGCTTGCCGCAACGCCTCTCGAAGGTTCTCTATATTGCCAAGCTGATTCAGGCTGAGAAGCTTCGTTTCGACTGTTCCGCTTCGCAAGCCGCATGCATCGCATGCATATGGGACAGGCATCGCTGAGGGGAACATGTCTTTCATGTTTTGGCTGTCCGTTTCGTCGTCACCTGGACAGTATGGTACGAATACCACGGGAATGAAGCCAAGCTGACCGATAAGAGGAATGGATGTCGTGCTCGTGGTACTAGCTGTATCATTGCTCGGCTCGACGAGGTAACAAGGACAGGTGTGCGGATCTGGCCCTATAGACTGCTGATAGGGCTTGATGTTGATCGGGCTCGGGGGCTGAACACCGATCGCGGCGAACTCGACATTTGGTTCGAAGGACTTTTTGTACATTTCGTTTACCTGTTTGACAAGGGCGGCATTATTTCCATTTGGTGGCTGATAATTTACATTGGCCAGTCCCTCACGATTTGTTTCTACCTGAATTATCGGTTCACTCACTTTCGTGACTTGTTGCGGATATTTGCGATTCTCACGAGAACTCTGTTGAAATCTTCCCCGTCCAGGACCCTGTGATACGATTTTCTTAACCTCTTCGAAGCTACGTTGATCTTCCTGTTCGCTATATTTACGGGACTCCTTTCGTTGTGCCTGCAGCAAGGAATTAATCTCGTCCGCATTTTGATTCACTTGCCCTGGCTGGTAACCGAGTCTCACAGATTGGTCTTTGAACCGTGAGTCCTTCAAGCCGAAAGGACTGCTTATCTTAGTTGGATACGTCAGAGCTGTGGATTCGACATTCTTTTCGTAACTTTCAGCAAAAGTGCGATTTTTGGTATACTCCGACTTGAACTTGGAATTAGAAGTTAATCGTTCGACTTGCTTCTGCCCAAAGTCTCTATAATATTGACTGTCGTAGCTGGTTGGCGTCGTTGGCTCGAAATATTTGATCGGATATTGAACTTTTATTGGTCCTTCGTATCGAGGTCGAGTCGTTGGTACTGCTCCAGGGACGTAATCTGGATCTCCAGGCCATGGTCCATCTGGACCGGGTGAACCGGTAGGCCATGGACCATCTGGCCCAGGAGGTCCATCACCACCTACTCCTCCTACACCTCCATCACCACCCACAGGACCACCTGGTCCTCCTGGTCCTCCTGGACCACCTGGACCTTGAGGACCATCCGGACCGTTGGGCCATGGACCATTTGGACCATCGGGGCCTACACCACCAGGTGGACCTTCAGGTGCAGGAGGATATCCTGGATATGGCGGATATTGCGGCTCATCTGAAATTAAAAACAGATTTTAAGTTCACAAATATTTAGACACAAATCAATTCAACCGATTATGATACATGATATATATTTCACTTACTCGGCCGTGAACTTCCAGGATATCCATGATGTCCAGGTTTGCCGGGTTTACCAGGTTTGCCAGGCGATTCTGGTGGTGTGCTGGGAAAACCTGGTTGCGGTGGTATTCCAGGGGAACCAGGTATACCGGGTGTCCCAGGTAACCCAGGTGACCCAGGAATGCTAGGTATACCAGGGTATCCAGGATGATGTGAAACAGGTGGAGAATCGGGAATACCAGGCTTACCAGGTTTACTAGGCTTACCAGGTTTGCCAGGTTTTCCTGGTTTGCCAGGTTTTTCAGGGACACCGGGGATGCCCGGAATACCAGGACTACCAGGAATACTTGGTGTAGCAGGATATCCAGGTGCACTTGGCGTACCAGGTGCTCCGGGATATCCGGGATAACCTGGAAAACCGGGAGTTCCAGGAGACCCAGGATATCCAGGGGATCCAGGCACGTCAGGAATTCCAGGATATCCAGGTTGGGATGGTATTTGAGATCCCGGATACCCAGGGCTACCTGGGCTTCCAGGATATCCAGAATGCGGCGGGTATCCGGAAAACGGAGGTTTACCAGGTTTCCCTGGTTTCCCAGGGCGGCCAGGTAAACCAGGCGTCGCCGGAGTACCGGGGCTGCCAGGAATACCTGGAGAGACAGGATGTCCAGGATATGGAGGATATGGCGGAATACTTGGTGTACCACCAGTTCCAGGTTCTCCAGGTGGACTGGGGTATCCTGGCTGCGGCGGCGTCCCTGGTGTCCCTGGCGTTCCAGGCGTCCCAGGATGTCCAGGTATTCCGGGCGTACCAGGTGTACCAGGGTAACCCGGTTGTGGTGGGGTACCCGGATAACCAGGATGAGGTGGTGTGCCAGGAGGGGTAGGTTTACCTGGGAATCCTGTTTGTGGTGGCGACCCAGGAGTTCCTGGCGTCCCAGGAGTACCAGGAGTACCAGGCAGGCCTGGTATACCAGGTGTACCAGGTTTCCCTGGGAATCCTGGTTGAGGTGGTGTTCCAGGATAACCAGAATGAGGTGGTGTTCCAGGCGGGATCGATGTCCCTGGGTATCCTGGTTGTGGCGGCGTACCAGGTGTTCCAGGCGCTCCAGGATGTCCAGGTATTCCGGGTGTACCAGGTGTACCAGGGTAACCAGGTTGTGGTGGTGTTCCAGGGTAACCAGGGTGAGATGGTGAGCCAGGTGGAATCGGTGTGCCTGGATATCCTGGTTGTGGTGGCGTTCCTGGGGTACCGGGCGTACCAGGAAGTCCAGGTACGCCTGGCGTTCCAGGTTTTCCTGGGTATCCAGATTGTGGCGGCGTACCAGGCGTCCCCGGTGTACCGGGCGTACCAGGGTATCCTGGTTGAGGTGGTGTTCCCGGTGGGATCGATGTGCCTGGGTATCCTGGATGTAACGGCGTGCCTGGTGTTCCAGGAGGTCCAGGATGTCCAGGTATTCCGGGTGTACCAGGTGTACCAGGGTAACCAGGTTGTGGTGGTGGTGTTCCTGGATAACCAGGATGAGGTGGTGTGCCAGGAGGAATCGGTGTACCTGGATAACCTGGGTGCGGTGGCGTCCCCGGCGTTCCTGGCGTTCCTGGCGTTCCAGGTGTTCCTGGCGTACCGGGTTTCCCTGGATATCCTGGTTGAGGTGGTGGTCCAGGGTAACCAGGATGAGGTGGTTTTCCAGGTGGGATCGGTGTCCCTGGGTATCCTGGATGTGGCGGCGTGCCTGGGGTTCCAGGCGGGCCAGGATGTCCAGGGATTCCGGGTGTACCAGGTGTACCAGGGTAACCAGGTTGTGGTGGTGGTGTTCCTGGATAACCAGGATGAGGTGGTGTGCCAGGAGGAATCGGTGTACCTGGATAACCTGGGTGCGGTGGCGTCCCCGGCGTTCCTGGCGTTCCTGGCGTTCCAGGTGTTCCTGGCGTACCGGGTTTCCCTGGATATCCTGGTTGAGGTGGTGGTCCAGGGTAACCAGGATGAGGTGGTTTTCCAGGTGGGATCGGTGTCCCTGGGTATCCTGGATGTGGCGGCGTGCCTGGGGTTCCAGGCGGGCCAGGATGTCCAGGGATTCCGGGTGTACCAGGTGTACCAGGGTAACCAGGTTGTGGTGGTGGTGTTCCTGGATAACCAGGATGAGGTGGTGTGCCAGGAGGAATCGGTGTACCTGGATAACCTGGGTGCGGTGGCGTCCCCGGCGTTCCTGGCGTTCCTGGCGTTCCAGGTGTTCCTGGCGTACCGGGTTTCCCTGGATATCCTGGTTGAGGTGGTGGTCCAGGGTAACCAGGATGAGGTGGTTTTCCAGGTGGGATCGGTGTCCCTGGGTATCCTGGATGTGGCGGCGTGCCTGGGGTTCCAGGCGGGCCAGGATGTCCAGGGATTCCGGGTGTACCAGGTGTACCAGGGTAACCAGGTTGTGGTGGTGGTGTTCCTGGATAACCAGGATGAGGTGGTGTGCCAGGAGGAATCGGTGTACCTGGATAACCTGGGTGCGGTGGCGTCCCCGGCGTTCCTGGCGTTCCTGGCGTTCCAGGTGTTCCTGGCGTACCGGGTTTCCCTGGATATCCTGGTTGAGGTGGTGGTCCAGGGTAACCAGGATGAGGTGGTTTTCCAGGTGGGATCGGTGTCCCTGGGTATCCTGGATGTGGCGGCGTGCCTGGGGTTCCAGGCGGGCCAGGATGTCCAGGGATTCCGGGTGTACCAGGTGTACCAGGGTAACCAGGTTGTGGTGGTGGTGTTCCTGGATAACCAGGATGAGGTGGTGTGCCAGGAGGAATCGGTGTACCTGGATAACCTGGGTGCGGTGGCGTCCCCGGCGTTCCTGGCGTTCCTGGCGTTCCAGGTGTTCCTGGCGTACCGGGTTTCCCTGGATATCCTGGTTGAGGTGGTGGTCCAGGGTAACCAGGATGAGGTGGTTTTCCAGGTGGGATCGGTGTCCCTGGGTATCCTGGATGTGGCGGCGTGCCTGGGGTTCCAGGCGGGCCAGGATGTCCAGGGATTCCGGGTGTACCAGGTGTACCAGGGTAACCAGGTTGTGGTGGTGGTGTTCCTGGATAACCAGGATGAGGTGGTGTGCCAGGAGGAATCGGTGTACCTGGATAACCTGGTTGCGGTGGCGTCCCCGGCGTTCCTGGCGTTCCAGGTGTTCCTGGCGTACCAGGTTTCCCTGGGTATCCTGGTTGAGGTGGTGGTCCGGGGTAACCAGGATGTGGTGGTTTTCCAGGTGGAATCGGTGTCCCTGGGTATCCTGGATGTGGCGGCGTGCCTGGTGTTCCAGGCGGTCCAGGATGTCCAGGTATTCCGGGTGTACCAGGTGTACCAGGTGTACCAGGGTAACCAGGTTGTGGTGGTGTTCCTGGATAACCAGGATGAGGTGGTGTGCCAGGAGGAATCGGTGTACCTGGATAACCTGGTTGCGGTGGCGTCCCCGGCGTTCCTGGCGTTCCAGGTGTTCCTGGCGTACCGGGTTTCCCTGGATATCCTGGTTGAGGTGGTGGTCCAGGGTAAATTGTCCAGGTGTTCCTGGCGTACCGGGTTTCCCTGGATATCCTGGTTGAGGTGGTGGTCCAGGGTAGCCAGGATGAGGTGGTTTTCCAGGTGGTATCGGTGTCCCTGGATATCCTGGATGTGGCGGCGTGCCTGGGGTTCCAGGCGGTCCAGGATGTCCAGGTATTCCGGGTGTACCAGGTGTACCAGGGTAACCAGGTTGTGGTGGTGTTCCTGGATAACCAGGATGAGTTTGTGTGCCAGGAGGAATCGGTGTACCTGGATAACCTGGTTGCGGTGGCGTCCCCGGCTTTCCTGGCGTTCCAGGTGTTCCTGGCGTACCAGGTTTCCCTGGGTATCCTGGTTGAGGTGGTGGTCCGGGGTATCCAGGATGAGGTGGTTTCCCAGGTGGGATCGGTGTTCCTGGGTATCCTGGATGTGGTGGCGTGCCTGGTGTTCCAGGCGGTCCAGGATGTCCAGGTATTCCGGGTGTACCAGGCGTCCCAGGTGTACCAGGGTAACCAGGTTGTGGTGGTGTTCCTGGATAACCAGGATGAGTTGGTGTGCCAGGAGGAATCGGTGTACCTGGATAACCTGGTTGCGGTGGTGTCCCCGGCGTTCCTGGCGTTCCAGGTGTTCCTGGCGTACCAGGCTGTCCAGGTGTTCCTGGCGTACCAGGTTTCCCTGGGTATCCTGGTTGAGGTGGTGGTCCAGGGTAACCAGGATGAGGTGGTTTTCCAGGTGGGATCGGTGTCCCTGGGTATCCTGGATGTGGCGGCGTGCCTGGTGTTCCAGGCGGTCCAGGATGTCCAGGTATTCCGGGTGTACCAGGTGTACCAGGGTAACCAGGTTGAGGTGGTGTTCCAGGGTGACCAGGATGAGGTGGTGTGCCAGACGGGATCGGTGTTCCAGGGTATCCTGATTGTGGTGGCGTCCCTGGCGTCCCCGGAGTTCCAGGTGTTCCTGGCGTACCAGGATGTCCCGGTACTCCGGGCGTACCAGGGTATCCTGGTTGAGGTGGTGTTCCAGGGTAACCAGGATGAGGTGGTTTCCCAGGTGGGATCGGGGTCCCTGGGTGTCCTGGATGTGGCGGCGTGCCTGGCGTGCCTGGTGTGCCAGGTGCTCCTGGCGTACCAGGTTTCCCTGGGTATCCTGGTTGAGGCGGTGTTCCAGGGTAACCAGGATGAGGTGGTGTGCCAGGCGGGATTGGTGTACCTGGGTGTCCTGGTTGTGGTGGCGTACCAGGCTGTCCAGGTGTTCCTGGGTATCCTGGTTGAGGCGGTGTTCCAGGGTAACCAGGATGAGGTGGTGTGCCAGGCGGGATTGGTGTACCTGGGTGTCCTGGTTGTGGTGGCGTACCAGGCTGTCCAGGTGTTCCGGGTGTTCCAGGTTTTTCTGGGTATCCTGGTTGAGATGGTGTTCCAGGGTAACCAGGATGAGGTGGTGTGCCAGGCGGGATTGGTGTACCTGGGTGTCCTGACTGTCCAGGTGTTCCTGGCGTACCAGGTTTCCCTGGGTATCCTGGTTGAGGTGGTGGTCCAGGGTAACCAGGATGAGGTGGTTTTCCAGGTGGGATCGGTGTCCCTGGGTATCCTGGATGTGGCGGCGTGCCTGGTGTTCCAGGCGGTCCAGGATGTCCAGGTATTCCGGGTGTACCAGGTGTACCAGGGTAACCAGGTTGTGGTGGTGTTCCTGGATAACCAGGATGAGGTGGTGTGCCAGGAGGAATCGGTGTACCTGGATAACCTGGTTGCGGTGGCGTCCCCGGCGTTCCTGGCGTTCCAGGTGTTCCTGGCGTACCAGGTTTCCCTGGGTATCCTGGTTGAGGTGGTGGTCCGGGGTAACCAGGATGTGGTGGTTTTCCAGGTGGAATCGGTGTCCCTGGGTATCCTGGATGTGGCGGCGTGCCTGGTGTTCCAGGCGGTCCAGGATGTCCAGGTATTCCGGGTGTACCAGGTGTACCAGGTGTACCAGGGTAACCAGGTTGTGGTGGTGTTCCTGGATAACCAGGATGAGGTGGTGTGCCAGGAGGAATCGGTGTACCTGGATAACCTGGTTGCGGTGGCGTCCCCGGCGTTCCTGGCGTTCCAGGTGTTCCTGGCGTACCAGGTTTCCCTGGGTATCCTGGTTGAGGTGGTGGTCCGGGGTAACCAGGATGTGGTGGTTTTCCAGGTGGAATCGGTGTCCCTGGGTATCCTGGATGTGGCGGCGTGCCTGGTGTTCCAGGCGGTCCAGGACGTCCAGGTATTCCGGGTGTACCAGGTGTACCAGGTGTACCAGGGTAACCAGGTTGTGGTGGTGTTCCTGGATAACCAGGATGAGGTGGTGTGCCAGGAGGAATCGGTGTACCTGGATAACCTGGTTGCGGTGGCGTCCCCGGCGTTCCTGGCGTTCCAGGTGTTCCTGGCGTACCAGGTTTCCCTGGGTATCCTGGTTGAGGTGGTGGTCCGGGGTAACCAGGATGTGGTGGTTTTCCAGGTGGAATCGGTGTCCCTGGGTATCCTGGATGTGGCGGCGTGCCTGGTGTTCCAGGCGGTCCAGGACGTCCAGGTATTCCGGGTGTACCAGGTGTACCAGGTGTACCAGGGTAACCAGGTTGTGGTGGTGTTCCTGGATAACCAGGATGAGGTGGTGTGCCAGGAGGAATCGGTGTACCTGGATAACCTGGTTGCGGTGGCGTCCCCGGCGTTCCTGGCGTTCCAGGTGTTCCTGGCGTACCAGGTTTCCCTGGGTATCCTGGTTGAGGTGGTGGTCCGGGGTAACCAGGATGTGGTGGTTTTCCAGGTGGAATCGGTGTCCCTGGGTATCCTGGATGTGGCGGCGTGCCTGGTGTTCCAGGCGGTCCAGGACGTCCAGGTATTCCGGGTGTACCAGGTGTACCAGGTGTACCAGGGTAACCAGGTTGTGGTGGTGTTCCTGGATAACCAGGATGAGGTGGTGTGCCAGGAGGAATCGGTGTACCTGGATAACCTGGTTGCGGTGGCGTCCCCGGCGTTCCTGGCGTTCCAGGTGTTCCTGGCGTACCAGGTTTCCCTGGGTATCCTGGTTGAGGTGGTGGTCCGGGGTAACCAGGATGTGGTGGTTTTCCAGGTGGAATCGGTGTCCCTGGGTATCCTGGATGTGGCGGCGTGCCTGGTGTTCCAGGCGGTCCAGGACGTCCAGGTATTCCGGGTGTACCAGGTGTACCAGGTGTACCAGGGTAACCAGGTTGTGGTGGTGTTCCTGGATAACCAGGATGAGGTGGTGTGCCAGGAGGAATCGGTGTACCTGGATAACCTGGTTGCGGTGGCGTCCCCGGCGTTCCTGGCGTTCCAGGTGTTCCTGGCGTACCAGGTTTCCCTGGGTATCCTGGTTGAGGTGGTGGTCCGGGGTAACCAGGATGTGGTGGTTTTCCAGGTGGAATCGGTGTCCCTGGGTATCCTGGATGTGGCGGCGTGCCTGGTGTTCCAGGCGGTCCAGGACGTCCAGGTATTCCGGGTGTACCAGGTGTACCAGGGTAACCAGGTTGAGGTGGTGTTCCAGGGTGACCAGGATGAGGTGGTGTGCCAGACGGGATCGGTGTTCCAGGGTATCCTGATTGTGGTGGCGTCCCTGGCGTCCCCGGAGTTCCAGGTGTTCCTGGCGTACCAGGATGTCCCGGTACTCCGGGCGTACCAGGGTATCCTGGTTGAGGTGGTGTTCCAGGGTAACCAGGATGAGGTGGTTTCCCAGGTGGGATCGGGGTCCCTGGGTGTCCTGGATGTGGCGGCGTGCCTGGCGTGCCTGGTGTGCCAGGTGCTCCTGGCGTACCAGGTTTCCCTGGGTATCCTGGTTGAGGCGGTGTTCCAGGGTAACCAGGATGAGGTGGTGTGCCAGGCGGGATTGGTGTACCTGGGTGTCCTGGTTGTGGTGGCGTACCAGGCTGTCCAGGTGTTCCGGGTGTTCCAGGTTTTTCTGGGTATCCTGGTTGAGATGGTGTTCCAGGGTAACCAGGATGAGGTGGTGTGCCAGGCGGGATTGGTGTACCTGGGTGTCCTGGTTGTGGTGGCGTACCAGGCTGTCCAGGTGTTTCGGGTGTTCCAGGTTTTTCTGGGTATCCTGGTTGAGATGGTGTTCCAGGGTAACCAGGGTGTGGCGGTGTGCCAGGTGGGATCGGTGTGCCTGGATATCCTGGTTGTGGTGGCGTCCCTGGTGTCCCTGGCGTTCCTGGCGTTCCAGGTTTTCCGGGCGTACCAGGTGTTCCTGGGTATCCTGGTTGTGGTAGTGTCCCTGGTATTTCTGGTGTTCCAGGTGTTCCAGGATGTCCAGGTTTTCCGGGCCTGCCGGGTTTTCCTGGATGTCCAGGTATTCCGGGCCTGCCAGGTTTTCCTGGATATCCTGGCTGAGGATCGATGTGCCTGGGTATCCTGGATGTAACGGCGTGCCTGGTGTTCCAGGCGGTCCAGGATGTCCAGGTATTCCGGGTGTACCAGGTGTACCAGGGTAACCAGGTTGTGGTGGTGTTCCTGGATAACCAGGATGAGGTGGTGTGCCAGGAGGAATCGGTGTACCTGGATAATCTGGTTGCGGTGGCGTTCCTGGCGTTCCTGGCGTTCCAGGTGTTCCTGGCGTACCAGGTTTCCCTGGGTATCCTGGTTGAGGTGGTGGTCCGGGGTAACCAGGATGTGGTGGTTTTCCAGGTGGAATCGGTGTCCCTGGGTATCCTGGATGTGGCGGCGTGCCTGGTGTTCCAGGCGGTCCAGGATGTCCAGGTATTCCGGGTGTACCAGGTGTACCAGGTGTACCAGGGTAACCAGGTTGTGGTGGTGTTCCTGGATAACCAGGATGAGGTGGTGTGCCAGGAGGAATCGGTGTACCTGGATAACCTGGTTGCGGTGGCGTCCCCGGCGTTCCTGGCGTTCCAGGTGTTCCTGGCGTACCAGGTTTCCCTGGGTATCCTGGTTGAGGTGGTGGTCCGGGGTAACCAGGATGTGGTGGTTTTCCAGGTGGAATCGGTGTCCCTGGGTATCCTGGATGTGGCGGCGTGCCTGGTGTTCCAGGCGGTCCAGGACGTCCAGGTATTCCGGGTGTACCAGGTGTACCAGGTGTACCAGGGTAACCAGGTTGTGGTGGTGTTCCTGGATAACCAGGATGAGGTGGTGTGCCAGGAGGAATCGGTGTACCTGGATAACCTGGTTGCGGTGGCGTCCCCGGCGTTCCTGGCGTTCCAGGTGTTCCTGGCGTACCAGGTTTCCCTGGGTATCCTGGTTGAGGTGGTGGTCCGGGGTAACCAGGATGTGGTGGTTTTCCAGGTGGAATCGGTGTCCCTGGGTATCCTGGATGTGGCGGCGTGCCTGGTGTTCCAGGCGGTCCAGGACGTCCAGGTATTCCGGGTGTACCAGGTGTACCAGGTGTACCAGGGTAACCAGGTTGTGGTGGTGTTCCTGGATAACCAGGATGAGGTGGTGTGCCAGGAGGAATCGGTGTACCTGGATAACCTGGTTGCGGTGGCGTCCCCGGCGTTCCTGGCGTTCCAGGTGTTCCTGGCGTACCAGGTTTCCCTGGGTATCCTGGTTGAGGTGGTGGTCCGGGGTAACCAGGATGTGGTGGTTTTCCAGGTGGAATCGGTGTCCCTGGGTATCCTGGATGTGGCGGCGTGCCTGGTGTTCCAGGCGGTCCAGGACGTCCAGGTATTCCGGGTGTACCAGGTGTACCAGGTGTACCAGGGTAACCAGGTTGTGGTGGTGTTCCTGGATAACCAGGATGAGGTGGTGTGCCAGGAGGAATCGGTGTACCTGGATAACCTGGTTGCGGTGGCGTCCCCGGCGTTCCTGGCGTTCCAGGTGTTCCTGGCGTACCAGGTTTCCCTGGGTATCCTGGTTGAGGTGGTGGTCCGGGGTAACCAGGATGTGGTGGTTTTCCAGGTGGAATCGGTGTCCCTGGGTATCCTGGATGTGGCGGCGTGCCTGGTGTTCCAGGCGGTCCAGGACGTCCAGGTATTCCGGGTGTACCAGGTGTACCAGGTGTACCAGGGTAACCAGGTTGTGGTGGTGTTCCTGGATAACCAGGATGAGGTGGTGTGCCAGGAGGAATCGGTGTACCTGGATAACCTGGTTGCGGTGGCGTCCCCGGCGTTCCTGGCGTTCCAGGTGTTCCTGGCGTACCAGGTTTCCCTGGGTATCCTGGTTGAGGTGGTGGTCCGGGGTAACCAGGATGTGGTGGTTTTCCAGGTGGAATCGGTGTCCCTGGGTATCCTGGATGTGGCGGCGTGCCTGGTGTTCCAGGCGGTCCAGGACGTCCAGGTATTCCGGGTGTACCAGGTGTACCAGGTGTACCAGGGTAACATAGCCTGGTTGCGGTGGCGTGCCTGGCGTTCCTGGCGTACCAGGATGTCCCGGTACTCCGGGCGTACCAGGTTTCCCTGGGTATCCTGGTTGAGGTGGTGTTCCAGGATAACCAGGGTGAGACGGTGTGCCAGGCGGGATCGGTGTCCCTGGATATCCTGGTTGTGGTGGCGTCCCTGGCGTTCCTGGCGTTCCAGGTGTTCCGGGCGTTCCAGGTGTTCCTGGGTGTCCTGGTTGTGGCGGTATCCCTGGTATTCCTGGTGTTCCAGGTGTTCCAGGATGTCCAGGTATTCCTGGCCTGCCAGGTTTCTCTGGATATCCTGGTTGTGTTGGCGTTCCTGGCGTTCCTGGCGTTGCGGGTGTACCCGGCTGTGCTGGTATTTGGGGCGTACCTGGTATTCCTGGGTATCCTGGTTGTGGTGGTGTACCAGGCGTTCCTGGTGTTCCGGGTGTTCCAGGTGTTCCAGGTTTTCCAGGATGACCAGGTATTCCGGGCCTGCCTGGTTTCCCTGGAAATCCTGGTTGTGGTGGTGTTCCTGGTATTCCTGGTGTTCCGGGCGTATTAGGTGTTCCTGGGTACCCAGGTTGAGATGGTGTCCCTGGGTATCCTGGTTGTGGTGGTGTTCCTGGCGTTCCTGGTGTACCAGGCGTACTAGGTTTTCCAGGTATTCCGGGCGTACCAGGTGTTCCTGGTATTCCGGGCGTACCAGGTGTTCCTGGATATCCAGGTTGAGGTGGTGTTCCTGGGTATCCTGGTTGCGGTGGAATACCTGGCGTCCCTGGTGTTCCAGGTGTACCAGGATGTCCAGGTATTCCGGGCTTGCCAGGTTTCCCTGGGTATCCAGGTTGAGAAGGAGTTCCCGGATAACCAGGTTGCGGCGATGTACCTGGCGTACCCGGTGTACCGGGATATCCTGATTGTGGTGGTGTTCCAGGGGTGCCAGGTATGCCGGGTGTTCCAGGTGTTCCAGGTTGTCCTGGGTATCCTGGTTGTGGTGGTACTCCTGGTGTTCCTGGTATACTGGGTGTTCCGGGAGTACCTGGTGTTCCTGGATATCCAGGTTGAGGTGGTGTTCCTGGTTGTCCCGGCTGCCCTGGTTGACCTGGTCGTCCCGGGACTCCCGGGACTCCCGGTATTCCAGGCATTCCTTGTTGTCCGGGATATCCTGTAGTAATTATTATTTGTTGTTTTTTCTTAGAGTAACTTGATGTTTAACTGATTTTGCATGGTTTAGTTTATGCATGGAAGTAGTGAATTTTTGTAGTATTGTGTATGTCAGACCTATTTGGCTGTTCTGATTGTTGTATTCAATATTGTGGTTCGTCACTATGTACCGATGTTTCTGAACCGTTTGGTTTCGGCTCTTTGTTTAGTCGAATATAGTTTTTTCGTGTCATTGTTCCAAAGATTTATTTCTAGATGTTTAGGATATTTACCTGATCCTGGTACTGTTATTGTCGTAGATCCGGAACCTGTTCCCTCGAATTGTCTACATATTTCTGGGAAGTATAGGTCTCTCCATTCTGTAATTACACCGTGATGATCGTGATGGTCGTCGTGTTCGTGATTGTGTTGTTCCGAGTCATCGTGATGGTGTTCGTGTTCGTGTAGGAACAATTCAACTGCGTTTCCTGGTTGAACAACTCGATATCCCCATCCATCGCTTATATAAAACGTTGTTTTTAATTTTCCAAATGGATCTATGTATCCATAACATCCATATGTAATGTCGTCAGGCCCGCGTACTTCATGATGGAATTGTCCATTAGGACTGATTTCATAGCCGTAATTATATGCATCTGATAAGGAGATTAATAGTGTGTTTAAGTACGTAAGATAGTCCTTTTGGTTGTACTTTCAGTAATATTGCCTATACTTACTAGAATAAAAATCTTGATTTAAGTATTGACTCTTTTGCTCGTCACTGATGTTCAATACCACTTCCCTACTTTGCCTGCTTCCTTGCTGCTGCGTGCATTGCAACAGAGATGTGGCAATCACCTATTATACATGAATTGACAATTAATTATTTCAAAAATTGGCTGGCCCTCATATTTTCGGACTTTTTTAAATTTGTATTTTTCCATTCAATATATGCTGGTATTACTTTAAGAGTTTATATAATAAAGAAATTTTTATAAGTATGACACTTAGTTTTATGGATATCATATCCAGGTTTCATTGTGTGAAGCTATAGATCAATGCATTCTGTCGTTATGATATTAATACGAGCCAAATTGCATTACCAATTAGATAGGAATGTTAATTACACGAAATATTAGCCAATATGGTATTCTAATTCGTTCCTTGACAAGTTGACTTTAGCTGGACTAATCTTCTTCACCTTTGAAAGCTTAGTAAAGGTTCAGTATCAACGTGGCACGTCATTTTAAATGTCAAGTCAACCACATAGTTCAGGTTTGCCGGAATATTCAAGCAGCTACACTCTGGCCCAAAAATCGCTGCCCTTATATTTTTAAGTTGTCACTTGGACAACGTACATCATGATTGATCTTCGAGTTATTTCTATTAGCAGTCAAACAAGTTTCTGCATATTACAGGTTTGAATTTCCAAATGCGTCATAAACACATCTCAACTCGACTTGTGTACAAACGAGGTTACTAAATTTTTATTTTGGCTATACTCAGATAGAAGTCAATTATAATAAAATCGCTTTCTTTCTTCCTTTTTATTCATCGATTCGTTTATGGTCTCAAAATGTCGATAAATTGCACGTATACAGCAAAGTTCATCAACGACAAAGACCGATAAATTATTCGTCCTGAAACACTTCAGTCGTATTATGTAACGCGTATTTTCTTCAAAATCACGTGCAAAGAGATTAAAACGAGATTTAGCTACAACTAATGTCTCTCATTCGTGTTTAACCAACAACAAATTCCATAGTGCTACATGCAAATACCATGTTTTTGTCGCGCGATGTCATGGCTGACAACGGCTTTTAATCTTCCCTTGCCAAGGACCACTACAAAAGTTAGCACCCCCACTTATTTCTCGCGTGTTTCAGCGACGAAAAAGCCTTTTCCTTTCGCCGCTTAAGGCAATTGGAAGAAAAGGTAATGTAATCGTTTCTAGGGAACGTCGCAACTGATAAAAAACGTTTCGATAACTCAGCTATTAATATAGTTCGTGTTTTGGTAAATTCAGATCACTGCGTCGTCGAGTTTCGCAACGAGAAGTTTGATCGATCTCATGGGAACATCGATAGTCGTCGTCGATTTCACTTCAAGGTAACGATCGGTCGGACTGGAATGATTTACATTTGAGGAACTGTCCGTTGAAGGATAAAAGTTAGTCGGATTTATCTCCTTAGCTTTCGGCTATTCATTCTAGGCATCATTGGGACCATTGAGCTCGCAGGTTTTATTTGAAACCGACCTTTTCGTGTCATCTCCAAATTAGCAAATAACTGTCATATCATATGCACGGCTAAAATGGAAGAGAACAAAACGAGATTACTCAATTTCACTGCACCAACTTCGTCATCGCGTCACGACTTTCTTCGAATTTACAATTAAATTGCTTCGTTGTCATCGACGACGTTACGATGGCAGGTATCGTGGAGGAGAAAAGTTACAACGCGATGATTAAAATGTAAATTTTACATTACACATAGGTCTATGAATATTACATTAAACATAGAGAAATTAGAAGCAAGAGTAAGTACAAATTGCCCATTTGCGTATCAGAGCCTTAGGGCAAGCATCCAGTTAATAGTGATATATGATAACACGTCTTTTTCTCGTGGCATTAAGATACATTCAAGATTATCAAGTTTATTCGTGATCCATGATCGATGATTTCTCTGTCACAGGTTCCACCCACAATGGAAGGCAATTGAAACGCTACTTTATTCATCTCGCATACTGTCGACAGTCCCATTCAGACAGATTAATGACACCTTGTACGTCTCTAATCTTTGATTTCTCTTAATTTAGCTGGAACACGATGATTTATGCACGAGGGAATACGTACGATGATACGTCAATGAGAAATGAAACAGATACAAATTGGTGTTAGGCAATGCCTCGTGAGAACATGCTTGGTAAAACGGTACGAGTAAATGTTCATTTTTCTCTGGTTATTTTATAAAAAATTTGCAAAACTTTCTGCCTGTAGAAGTTATATGGCAATGATTTTGGAATGTACTGTTTGATCGATTAAATGCAAGATTGATGGGAGAAATGATGTATTCTTTACTATTCCGTTTTATCGATGCAGAAATTCCATGTTGCCGAGCTATTTTAACAAAATTTTAACGTTATGAATTTATACATCTAAATTGCGCGCATATAAATGAGGTTGTTCAAGGAGATCACAAATTTCCAATGCTATTAGGAAGGTCAAGAAGATTGACATCGTTCAAACATCATTCGAACAGCTCCAGAGTAGCTAATTAATCGGCATCGCCCAAATAAAGAACCTGCTAGTTGTATAACATAATCTGCATTTTTGATATTTCGTAGAAATTGATATATCCGTGAGTGAGGTTTTTCATAAATAAATCTTTTAATGTGAATAAAATCAATACACGGCCTTCCAGCAATTAATGGAACAGAACCCAGAAATTTCCAATTTCAAACATGAAACATTCGCATCAGTATTTTAATGTACCGATTACAATATTGAAACCAAATAGTAATAGTCGTTTATTGCGATTTATACGCTCTGAAAGGCGAATTCCTGCGTATTTAGCGGAGAATAAATAAAAATTCAAGCTAATATACATTCCACGCTCCTTATTCGCTGGATGTGTACCGTATAAAATATGGTGCACGAGAAAATATAAAACATGCTTGAATAGAATAGAAAATAAATAGAAAAAGCAATTTAAAATACAGGACTGCGTCTGATAACATTTCCAACAAATGTTTATCGATTTTTGGATTCAAAGGTACAAGTATGCTAAGGCGAAATATATTTGAAAATGTATTTGAAGAATCGCATGACTGAACAGAGCACATCGAAAGTTCGCGGAAAACTGAGTAAAACGTGTTAAAAAATGTAGCAAAAACAAATCGTGCAAAAAGGATAACAATTGATCTTTTTAACGATCTTTCGGCACCGAGAGGGTTGATCGAGGAACCATCTCCACGAGGAAATTCCTCAGGAATCGGGTCTCACTGGTAAGAGTGGTTTCTAATTTTGGCAAGTGACGCGTGTCACTTTCTTCAGACGCCTCTCAACCCTTTCTCTCCGATCTCGATCGAACGAGTCCCGAAAACAAATTGCCTATAATCTCCTTCCTCCATTGCGCGTTCGTGAAACCAAACGCCGCATTCGGCTGCGTAGTTTCACCCATGAATAATAAACAAAGCGTCGTCTTCGAGAGCGTGAACGTTGGGCGATCTCGTTCGGCACCAGGTCGACCTAAATAATCGCAAAAAGTGGCACGATCGTGTATCCTGCTAGGACGTCCTTCCCCGCGCGATCGGTGATGTCAGAGACGCGTCCTTTCTGCCCACGAAAAGGGAAAGTGAGATCCCGAGGAGCTCTTCTTCCCGGCGACGGCACCGCCGCTGCAAGCAGGAATCCGTTCGTGGTCGAAAAGGTTAATATATGCTAACGCTTGACCTGCCCTGAGCCGTGAATCAAGCACCGCCTGACGATGTTAATCCCTCCGGTATTCATGCCGACGCGATACTTTAGTGGACAATGGTAAATCAGTGACTGGACCCCTGGCGGCAACCATCCGCGTTTACGCGTTTCGCCGACTGTCAAGATTAACATTGCGTCGCGACGCGTCGGTCAGTCGCTTTCGCCAGCCAGACGGACACAATTGGCAACAGGTGAAGATTTCCCGCGATCAAGATTTCGAAGACAGTCGGGAGCGCACGAAAAGAAATTGCTTCGATAGATGGTTGATAGATGGCGCGAGCTTCAAGAACGAGATAATGGCGGATGACTAAGGAAAATTTGTGACGTCTCCTGCGATACCCTTTTTTGGCAATTTTTCTCGTCTGTTTAGGTTCGATTTTACTGTCCAATAAATTTTTTATTTATTTAATAAATGTATTTAAATAATTACTATTTTAATAAATAGCAAGTAGATTAAATTAAATATGGTTAATTATCGTTTTTCCTTCAAGATGAAATCGCGGAAACATTCTACAGTCATCTCCAAGTTGATATACACCTCTACACGAAATTACCATTAAGACCTAACATGATTCCTTCACGGCGCATCGCACCGCAAAATCGCGTATTGAAGATTATTCATGGAGCAGTGATTAAGTAGCGCAATATCAAATACGGATTATCAAATGGTGGAACGGCGTTTATCGAATAGGGCATTTCAAATTACACGTCTGATACGTGGACGTGTTCGACGAGCAAGAGAAGATGCAAAAAAGCGGATCCTCGTGTGGATCCACGTGAGACGTGGATCACCTCGAGCGATCGAGAGAGCGATTGATCCATCTAAAAAGGCATTCCCTTTATGAACATCGAGCGTGAATATTAATAGCATGTCATCGGGTAACCAGGCGCGCGTTTATTACACCGTTTGAAATTTCACGAGAATTTTACGAATCGAAAGGAATCCCATCATCTTTCACTGCTATGATGAGCAAAGCAATTAGACGTAAATTTTACGAGGATGAATCCATATTGATATGTTATTCGAAAATCCGTTCTTCCAATTCATAGCCGAGTATGTTGTAATTCGTGATAAGATCTTCCTCTTGTTAAATTTTTCTTTTTCTAGTCATTGCAAATGTGGTATCTTTGTTACGTATAGTAGTTCATTAGAGTATTCGAATTCTCGCATTTTTCATTTTCAAAAGAATATCGTGTTTTAAATAAAATACGATTATTGAGAACACGTGGATGAAATTAGAAACAAAATATTTTTAAGATAGCAATCAAAAATTCAGTATTGTTTTGGAGACTTGAGCGGTTCGAATGCTTTTGTTAGCGATTGTATATTGGAACTCTATATTGTAAATTTGACGTACAAACTTTTCTTCTTTATCTCGTA